AATCCCCACCAAATCATCCTCTTTCAAAGACTTTCCACTGATCAGAATCCATACGCTCAAGTTTCAAAGGACTCCCAAAGATTTATCTTTCTCAGCGTCCCCTGATTTTCTTACATTTCAACCCCACTGAAAATCATATAGTTGGGGCCATTGAATAGTTTTTTCCTCCTAAAACAACCCTTTTCATCCCTGAATTAATGGATTCTGATTTTGAATCCAGGCTTTCGGTTTTGTTTTAGGCCATGTGTTTCATCTTCTTCATCCCCTCTAACATCAGTTGCACTGGTAGAGTTGGGTTTTGTGCAGAATGGATTCTCAGAAATTGCTGGTTGCAACTTTAAAGGAGGAAGGTTAATTCTTTGACCTGTGATTTTCTCCAAGTATGAAACAATGGTGGCCTCTCTACTTATTGCTATGACTTTCTCACGGGCTCGTGCTGCCGCTTCTTGCTCAAACTTTGCTAGTTCTTGCTGCTTCCAAGCCTCCTCTCTTTCTCTTCTCTCTTGATCCAGTTTTTCAATGACTTGCGTAAACTTCCGGTAAAGATTTTCTTGATTTTCCATAATTTGTTTAACTAAACTCTCAAGAAAATAAGCCATTGAATCTAGTTGATCCTTCTTTTTCTTCCTTTTGCTTCTCCTTTTAGCCATTTTCATGGATTCTTCTTCTCCGATAGAAGCCTCCGAAGCCTGCAAATGGGTATTTACGGGCAAATGAACTGATCCAGAAGCAGTTTGATTACTCCCGGAAGTGCCGATACGTTTATAAATTGCTTCAAGCTCTCCATATAGTCTATTCTCTCGCTCTAAACAGTTCATTTCCGGTTCTTGAAAATACTTACAATGATTTCTCCCATTAATTTCTTGGTGTTCTTGTTTATTCTCTATCTCACTCTCCTCGTTTGATGGTGCTGCAGTGACGGGCTTCCTATGAAATTAATTAGCAACAAAATTAAAATCTTCCTGAAGAGTCATAAAAAGAGAAAGGGGGAGATTTAATAAAGAAAGCCCTCGATTCCTCTTCATCGTCACTGAGTCAAAGCCAAGGCAATAAGACTAGGCTTCCATTAATGGCAACTTTAAACAATGATGAGGTGCAAATTTGCATTAGAAAGAGAAATATCATGTGAATTGGTGCACACAAATTACCAGAAGTTTTGTTCAATGATAGAATCTTCTTGGTTTTGCCAACAATTAGGCATTGCAAGTGGAGTCTGTCGAGTCTCGGGGACATCATATTGCTCACTCCCACGCAACAAAGCATCTTCTCCTTCATCAACAATAACACTCTCTTTATTATTCG